TTTACCTTCAAGCCTTTAAGACCCCAGACACTATACCTTTTGATAGCTAGGCATCATCAGCTTTCTTTGCCACATTTACTTATGCACCCATTTGTCTTCAGCGATCATATCATGGAGGTGAGCACCCAATTATGTGATTTTTTTGTTCTTTGACACCAGATAACTGATCCCTTTGGCACCTCGTGATCACACCGGCTGCAACCTATCTTTACTGCTATATGCATTTACATTCTCTCTCTGGTTCCTGGAAGCAACTAGGTTGGTGATCCTTAAATTTGATGATACAGTTGTGACCCTTTTTGAAGCATTGTCCTCTTATAATTTTCACAATGTAAAAACCTGAAGCTCAGGTTCAATAACTTTTCCTTAGACAGTGAGTCAGTCTCTGTCTGGCTTTAAATTCCAATCAATTACTTCAATTTATCTATCTCCAACTTCTTAACATGTTCAAGGCTTTAAATAATACCATGGTCTGAGGCTTTAAGCAATACCATTTCCTATTATTTCTATTTCTCACTATATTTAAATAAAATGGCTTTGGAATTCAGTGGTTCCTGAAATACCAATCAAAATAGATATCTTAATATGAAGTTCTAAACACAAAAATGCTTTTTAAATCAAATTTTTAAAAAATTGTATAGGATATATATTATAATTTTAAGTTTACTTTGCACATAAATGTTATCCATACCACATTAACAGACTTTGAAATCATATTTATTGTTGTAGTTACAACATATTTATTATTTTTTTAAAAATTCAAAGACAAAGTAATAAATCTGGCTTTAACCTCCCGCCCTCCAAGGGAAATACAGTTTGGTAAAAAAAAAAAAAAATCCAATTTTATATACATCAGTTAGATGCTGAAATTTATAGTTCTTTAAATAATGATACCAATACAAGAAAATTAACATCAACTGATTAGGACATAAAAGTAAGTAGTTTATAATAATATGATAAGTAGCAGAAAACACCCTGCTCCGCAAGTAATTAAAAAAAAAATTCTACGCTAGTACAGTTGATCCCTAACAACTCTGAGCCATTAGAGTACTTCTATACATACAAAGTAAAAGAAATGGATATAGTGCTTATTGCAACAAATTAGGTCATCATAATACATGAGACTTAAATACCCTCCCACCCTCCCCATTGATAATAGTGGCTTCTTATTCCTTAAAGGTAGAAACTCCGCTCTTCAATGTAGAAAGATGAAGTCCACTCATCAAAAGGCACATTCTTATCTGTAAGACACACAAACAAGTAAATAAATAAAGTGTCCTTTGGGGATGAAATTTAAACATAAATTTAAGTATTCACCAAGATAACCTACTGTCAGCAAGTTAATTCTGCTTCATCGCAACCCTGTTGGGCAGAGTAGACGAGACCTATGGATTTTTGAGGCTGTAAATATCAACCTGAGCAAGAAAGTCTCATCTTTCTCCTGAGGAACAGTGATGGCTTTGAAATGATGATATCGTGGTCTGTAGCCCGATCTAACCACGTAATTCCCTATACCATCAGGGCTTAGAGGGACAAGAATATGATAAAGTCTCAAAGTAATTTATAATGAAAAACATTGGTTGAAAATATATAATTCCTTGGTCTATATTATTTAACTCCAGTAACAACCTTTTCAATGATAATTCTAACATTAAAGAGTCCTTGTGGTGATGTCGAGTAAGCATTGGTTTTGTTTGCTAAATAAAATCTGTATTTTTATTGGTTAGTGGTGGGGAAAGTCTACTGGTTTGTTTGGAGAAACACTGCTTGCTTCTGCAGGAGGCAGATCTGGCAGGCATGGGTTCCCTTTTTCACTGCACACAGATGTGACAGCTGAAGCTACAGCCGCAATAAGATCTCAGGAAGACAAGTAGGAGGGCAAGTAAGGCAACGGCAAAGTTGTGGGTGTTGTCATCAAGAGGCATTGAATCAAAACCAACCACTGCAAATTTTTCAGGACAAGAGAAAAACAAGCTTAGTTTCTGTAATGAAGGATTTTCAAGTTTCGGAAGCAATAATCCATTATGAAAAGCAACCATTAGTTTATGTTAGGGAAAGAAAAAATATATAAATAATTAACTCTGAAAACTCCACCTTTAGCATTTTTTAGGTTTAAACACAGTTTTGTACCTTGTATTATGGCACACACACAGAAAAATAGATGGATTACTTTAAAGATAGCTTAAAATACATCAGAAAAAATAAAATATAAATAGCTACAAAACCTGTTCAAGTTTGGAGTTAATGAATATTGTTACAGTTCATATATTTAAATTATTAGCAGATTGTTAAGGATTTTTTCCAGTTTCTCTGAAAAAAGATACAATATCCATCCACCACACATCTGTCAATTGATCACACTGTGGTGACATGCACATTGCTATGTTGCTAGAAACTGTGCTATCAATACAATATTTCAAACACCAACAGTTACCCATAGTGGGCAGGTTTCAGTGGGACTTTCAGACTAATATAGATTAAGAAGGGTGGCCTAGTGATCTATTTCTGGAAAAGCAAATTGCCAGAAAGCTCTTAAGGATATCCGCGAAAGGCACACAAAATACACCTGGGGAAGAAAAGCTGCCTCCTCAAAGTAGGGTCAAGCTTAATGAAGTGGATTAAACCAGGGAAGGTACAAAGTTTGAACCTATGAAAATTAAAAGTCATCAAAAATAAAATGGGATGTAGACAGATCAATTTCCTAGTAGAACTGGCTACTATGAATCAGTATGCATATGGTCTATTATGCCAGGTGAGCCTGCAGTATATGAAGTAACAGAGACGTAGCCTCCAGTAAGACAGCAACCTCAAGCTACTACAGAACAGCAAATCGACAGGCAAGTAGGGGTTTGCTCTGTAATAAATATAAAGAAAACAAAAATTCTCCCAGCTGGACTAATTGCCAACATCATGATAGCGAAAAGTTGTCAAGGACTTCATCTTGCTTGGATTCACAATCAGTGTTTAATGAAGCAACAATCAAGAAACCAAGCGATGTATTACATTGGACAAAGCTGCTGCACAAGACCTCTTTAAAGGGATAAAGGGCAAAGATCTCACTTTGAGTACTACAGTGCACCTAACCCAAGCCATGGTATTTTTTTAAAAATTCATTTTAGTGGGGGGAGGGGCTCTTAAAGTTCTTCTATCATTCCATACATCAATTGTATCAAGCATATTTGTATATACGTTGTTATCATCATTTCCAAAACATTTTCTACTTGAGCCCTTGGTATAAGCTCCTCTTTTTTCCCCTCCCTTCCCTTGATCAATTATACATAAGCCATGGTATTTTCAATCACCTCATATGCATGTGAAAGTTGAACTTTCAATAAGGACGACCAAAGAGGAATCAAAACATTTTCATCATGGTGCTAAGTGAAGAATATTGAAAGTATCATGGACTGCCAAAAGAACAAACAAATCTGTATTAGAATAAGTACAGTCCGAATGCTATTTAGAAGCTAGGTGGCAAGATTTTGTCTCACTATTTTGGATGTTATCAGGAGAGACCAGACCCTGGGAAAGGACATCATGCTTAGTAAAGTAAGAGGGCAGAGACAAAGAAGATCTTTGACAAGATGGACTCTCACAGTGGTGGCAACAATGAGATCACACATACAATTATGAGGGTGAAGCAGGACTCGGGAGATGTTTATTCGGTAGTGCAAACAGTTGCTATGAGTCAGAACTGACTCAAGGGTACCTAATAACAACAACTATGATGGCTACCGCAGCCATTTCAAGAGGTAGCATCTGACCCAAACTGATACTATTGAAGAGTAAAAGTTCAAGCAGCATTGAAGCCATTGGTGAGAAACCAAGTGCAGGAAGTTACAAAACATCAATCGAGATGTTTCAACAAATGGATGCAGAACTGGAAGCACTGATTGTCTAGGCCAAGACATGTGGCTGCCCAACGGACTCCATTCCAAAGAAAGGTGACCCCACAGAAGGTGGGATCATTGAACACTGTCATTACTATTGCCAAGAAAACCAAACTCACTGCCACTGAATTGATGCTCACTCATAATGACCCTATAGGACAGCGTAGACCTGCCCCTATGAATTTCGGAGACTATAAATCTTTACAAAAGCAGAAAGTTCGGTCTTCTCCCATGGACTGCCTGGTGGTTTTGAACTTTAGACCTTGTGGACTGCAAGCCAAATTGTAACCACTACATCACCAGGGCTCCTTCACATGCAACTAAAATTATGTTTGAGATCATTTTAAAAACATTGCAGCAGCATAAACATTGCAGCAGCATATCAAGAAGGAAGTTCCAAAAACTCAAGCTGGGTACAGAAAAGGACATGAAACACAAGATATCATTGCTGTTATCATATGAATATTGGCTGAAAGTAGAGACTATCAGAGACATTGTTACCTGTTTTTCATTGACATTGCAAAAGTATTTGACTGTGCAGACCACAGAAAATTATGGATAACATTGTAAAGGATGGGAAGAATTCCAGAACACTCAATTGTGTTTGGCCAGAACCTGTGTATAGACCGAGAGACAGTTATTTAAACAGAAAAAGGATTCTATGTGGTTTAATATCAGGAAAAGTGTGTCTCTGGGGTATATCCTATCATCGTGCATTTTCAAGCTATATGCTAATAAATAATCCCAGACACTAGACTATCTGAAAAAAGAACAGAGCATCAGGATTGAAGGAAGATTCATTAAGCGCATGTGATATGCAGATGACACCACCTTACTAGCTGAAAGAGGACTTGAAGCACTTACTGACGCGTATCAAAGACTGTATATGGGTTATTTCCAAAAATGAAAAGAAAATCTCAAAATCGTACCTCTAAACATCATAAAAATGGAGAAAAGATTAAAGTTATGAAGGATTTCATTGTACTAAGATCCACAATCAATGCTCACATAAGCAGTAGTCAAGAAGTCAAAGTACTTATTACATTTGGCAAATCTGCTGCCAAGAACTCTTTCCGAGTGTGAGAGGGGTGATGCCTGGAGGGTGAAGGGAATGTGGGGTAGAAAGAGGGAACCAATTACAAGAATCTAAGTATTGCCTCTTCCCTGGGGGATGGACAACAGAGAAGAGGGCGGAGGGAAACATCGGACAGGGTAACTTATGACAAAACTATAATAATTTATGAACTATGAAGGGTTCATGAGGGAGGGGGAAGGGGGGAGGGAGGGGGAAAATGAGAAACTGATATTATAGGCTAGAGTGGGAGGCAAATGTTTTGAGAATGATGAGGGCAACAAAGTGCATATGTGCTTGACACAATGGATGTATGTATGGATTGTGATGAGAATTGTACGAGCCCCCAATAAAATAATTAAAAAAAAAAAGTAAAGATGTCACTTTGATGACTCATGGTATTTTCAAATGTCTCATGTTCACTGGTCTCAAAGCTGGATAATGAATAAAGAACACTGAAAAAACTGGTGTCTCTAAATTATGGAATTGGTGAAGAATATTGGATATACCACAGACTGCTGAAAGAATAAACAAGTCTAGAAAGAAGTACAGTGAGAATGATCTTTGGAAATGAGGATGGACAGACTTCATCTCACATGTTGAGCATGTTATCAGGAGGACCAGTCTCTGAAGAAGGACACCACATTTGGTTAACTAGGTCGGTAAAAAGAGAAAGACGCTCAATGAAGTGAATGGCATAGTGGCTGCAAAGATGGATTAAAACAAGAATTGTAATGCTGGCACAGAGCTGGGCAGTGCTTTGTTCTGTTTTCTGTACGGTCACTAAGAGTTGGGAATGACCTGATGCAACTAATCAGACCATCTTCAGATTTTATAGAATGAGCACTACTTTAAAGATCCATGGGAAAGGTTAATGATTTAATAATCTTAAATATTTCATAATCATAAACCGCAGGACCTAATCCCAGTGTTGCCCTGTAAACCCACTGTTAAGTAACCACATGGAGAGGTATGCTAATTCCCTCCCATGTCTATCCAACCTACTGTAAAACTAGAAAGATTGCTATCTAACCAATGGCAAGTGTAAATGCTGAACCAATACAGCCATTTGATGAAATGCATCAACTGCTGTATAATCAGAAATGTGATCTATTTTATTTTTTAGAGTTTCCTTTGACATAAATTAAACCCGATCCATCAATCACTTTTAGTCTCTGCAGTCCCAAAACAACAGTCACTGGCACACAGGGCAACGTAAAATTTCAATTAATTAAAATTAAATAAAATGAAAAGTCCCAATTCTGCAATTTCAGCAGCCAAA